TGTGTCTGTTAATGATAATATTGGGTTCTTCATTTTCGTATAAGTCATATGTTTCATTAGAGTCAAATTCGAATTTTTGTAAGTGTTGTGAATATTTGATGCCAAGTTCTTTCATAATCATGTTTATATATAATTTTATACATATTAGGTTGTCCCGAAAGTTTTGTCGGTTTTTTCAACCTATCATAAAAACGCGTAGAACGAAGATAGAGAAACGCTCTAAGCACTATCCGATGCATCTTTTCCTTCTCTTTCTAAGTGTTATGCTTTCGCGCCAATTAATCTTTTGCTCACTGAAATAAACGCCGAAATTTCGAACCCATGGTTTTTACTATGTCCAAGTTTGGCAATTTTTCACAATTTTTATTTTTGACTTTCGGAAAAGCTTTGGCAACATTTAGATAGAGCAAACAAAGGGCAATATAATGCAATTTTTTGGCATCTATAGCCAGCCTTGAAAATTTTTTAGAATTATTAGGTTGTCCCGAAAGTTTTGTCGGTTTTTTCAACCTATCATAAAAACGCGTAGAACGAAGATAGAGAAACGCTCTAAGCACTATCCGATGCATCTTTTCCTTCTCTTTCTAAGTGTTATGCTTTCGCGCCAATTAATCTTTTGCTCACTGAAATAAACGCCGAAATTTCGAACCCATGGTTTTTACTATGTCCAAGTTTGGCAATTTTTCACAATTTTTATTTTTGACTTTCGGAAAAGCTTTGGCAACATTTAGATAGAGCAAACAAAGGGCAATATAATGCAATTTTTTGGCATCTATAGCCAGCCTTGAAAATTTTTTAGAATTATTTTTCTGATGCTATCAAATTCCACTTTTGGTGATGCCAAAAGCCAGAGATCATCGGCGCACAACTAAGGTGCTATTCGATGCGGCTTTTCCTTCTCTTTCTAGTGAGTGTATTTTCTCTCTAATTTGCGGTGTCTTTGGCGATAAAATTTTCATAATTCTTGAATTTGACCCCACCCCAGCGTGTACACGTAAAATGCAAAATCTTATATTTCGAAGCGGTAAACGCTCATTTGCTTCGTAAAAATAGTGAGTAATAGTAATTGGTTTTTGAAAGCTTCAAAATCCGATGATTTGTTAGTGATCGAGGCGTTTTTGTATTTTGGAACTTCGCAAAAGTGAAGAATTTTGAAAAAATTATCTTTAAAAATATTGAAAAGCCAGCTAGATATGCCAAATAATTGCATTGCATTGCCCTTTGCTTACTCTATTTGAGGGCTATCAAAGTTTTTATAAAAGTTGAAAATGAAGACTGTGAAAAATTGTCAAACTTGGACATAGTAAAAACCATGAGTTCGAAATTTCGGCGTTTATCTCAGTGAGCAAAAGCTTATTCGGCATGTGGGCTTGACAGTTGGAAAGAGGAGGAAAATGTGCGTCGGGTAGTGCTTAGAGCGTTTCCCTATCTTCGTTCTACGCGTTTTTATGATAGGTTGAAAAAACCGACAAAACTTTCGGGACAACCTAATATAATGCCATAATTGTTGTTTGCTTTATCTAGTGGACATATGATAAAATTATTTTTGAGATTTTTGAGATAACTACAATTGAAATTATAAGGTATAGCACCTTTTAATTTTTCTCTATATAGTAAAGGTTTCAGTTTATGAAAAAATGTTTTCTTTAGGTAACTTTTTATGTTTAAGTTTTTTTCATAGTTAAGTTTGAATTTTGTTATGTAGGTATCCATTATTATTTGAACCACATTGTATATCCAATTTACGATTTCTTTTTTGTTAATTTTTTTCTGTATTATATATTTTGTGCCTTTTTCCATAATGGATCTCAAGTATTTATCTTGAATAATATTTAAGTCTCCAGTAACTATGTGTTCATGTTGTTTGTCTATGTAGTTCTTCATAGAAGGTTCACTACATTTACAATTTCTAGAGAGGATTTGTAATATTTGTTTATTATTTAATTTGTTCAAAATACTATTATAATTGAAAATTTTTTGAGATATTGGTGGTTCATATGTGTATATTAATCTGCAGGGTATGTAATTATCACAATTGTTTTTCAATATATTAGTAATGAAATTGTTATTTATGATTTTGTTCAAGTTTACTTGGTCTAATATGTTATGTATATAGTTAATTTTGATGTTAAAACATTTTTTGACTTCTTTCTTTGCATTGTTGTTGCTTTGAAATTTACACAAAATACTTAGTATTATTATACGGTTATCTGTATTTATTTGTTTGAGAAATTCTAGATTAAAGCAAGCTCTTATAATTTGTTTGATGAAGTTTAACTTTAAAGAACAAATATAATTAAAGATTTCGGTATGTGATTTGGTTATATTTATTTTGTGTAAAAATGTTTCGATTGTTTCATGATTTTTATTTTTATGTCGATATTTACTACGTATTCTATCTTTTATGATACTTAAACTGTAATGTGGATGATTATTGTTATGAATAAGAGAATTTGTTATTTCTGATATATTTCCATACCCTTCGATACTATCATTAAATCCAAAAGGATGAGCTGTATTTAGTAGTTTTATCCAAAATAATTCTTTATAAATAAGAGTATTTTTATCTTCGTTATCTATGTTGTCTAAAATGTTTATTTGTATATTTTTATTGTGGCAAGTATGTTCAAAATGATCGTAGAAGTAATTATTTATGTCGTTTTTGTTGATGTGGTAAATATGTTCTTTGATTCTGTTTTTAAGTTGTCTAGTAGTTATACCAACATATTGTTTTTTACATTCTTCGCAGGTAATGCAGTAAACCACGTTTTTACTTGTACATGCTAATTCTTTGTTGCAAAAAGTAAATATTTTTAAGCCTGTTGAACTGCTAATAATGTGTGGTTGATTATTTATATATTTACATATACAAAATTTAGAAGAACATGTTGTTGTAATATTATTATTACCGAAGTTATCTAAAATATAATTATTGTTTACCTTACTTTTGTGAAATTTTGTTAATTTGAAGTAGTTGTGTACGTCGTAAGCTACAGTTTTTTTGAACCCAGTCTATACACTACCCCAGTGGTAGGTTCTTACCCTGGGGAGTGGGGAGAATATGATTTTGCAGGACTGCTGCAAGGTTCACGACAGACCTTTTTATGTTTGATAAATGCGTGGTTTGAATTTATAAGTGAATAAACGAGATCCATGGAGTCGCAGGAGAAGTATCCCCCTAGTCCCTCTCCCACTTGTATTACCCATTATGGAATCTCCCTATTTTTTATAAAACAAGAGGTATGGCCCTCTTCTCAAAGAGTGATTATGAATTTGACTAACTATAATCTTACGACTAAAATAGAACTTAAACTAAACTTACCTATAACTACAAGACGGTAAAGTTACCTAGAAAAATGAAAAAAATATTTAATTAAGTTGTTTTTTTAGTAATAGAGTAGTAAGGTAAACAATATAATTATAAGGAATTATGTGTAAATTTAGTTTTATTCAAATGTTCTTTGGATATAGCAAGTATTGTTGATTTATACCGAGTATGTAATATATATTAGGTTGAACCGAAAGTTCGTTCGCATCATTTTCAAAAAATCATAACTTCTTTCCGTCACGACGATTTTGCGCAATTCAAGTTTTGTTAGAAAGGGTAAAGCATGAAGTTTCCAAAAGTCCCATAAAGACATTACAGCATGTTCAGATTGCAGAGATAAAAATAAAAGAACGAAGACATCCGAAATTCGGAATTTTTGAGAAACAATTCCAAAAATATAGAAACTGCGCGATAAAATCCATAAAAGCCATTATCCTGATATTTCTTATATTCGATTACTAACTGAGTTAAGTTTGTGCTGATCGAGCTCTTCTTCCAAAAGTTATGATTTTTTGAAAAAAAATGCCGAAAAATCAATTTCTTAGGAATTCTTAGGAAAGTGATTTTTCGGAATTTTTTTCAAAAAATCATAACTTTTGAAAGAAGAGCTAGATCAGCACGAACTTAACTCAGTTAGTAATCAAATACAAGAAAAATTAGGATAATGGCTTTTATGGATTTTATCGCGCAGTTTCTATATTTTTGGAATTGTTTCTCAAAAATTCCGAATTTCGGATGTTTTCGTTCTTTCATTTTTATCTCTGCAATATGAACATGCTAGAAAGTCGCCAGGTGACTATTAGAAACTACATGCTTTACGCTTTCGAATAAATCTCAAACTGCGCAAAATCGTCGTGACGGAAAGAAGTTATGATTTTTTGAAAATGGTGCGAACGAACTTTCGGTTCAACCTAATATGTCAATCAATCATCTAACCTAATATGTTAGAAATGAAATGTTGTTTGCAAAAATTCAATGTTTTGTTTAAGTATCAATTTTACGGTAAGTTACATTTATTATTTTCAACTATTCTACCGGTTACGTTTTTTTTGAAGCTGGGTATATGTTAAAAGCAAGACATGGGATTATATGTAGTGGTGTGTGTATTCTGTACATCAAAAGTTTTATATGAAGTTCTTGAGAGACGTTCTTTTTATATTGGTAGTGTGAAGCTTTAATCTGATCTTGACTTGCTCTAACATTCCATGTACATCTTAAATTCTTATAAAAGTTGTTTGACTTAGGGAAGCTACCGCAGGGTGTGTAGTTTGTGGCGATGATTTTACATGGCGTATCACGGTTGTAGGAATAGTTATATAGCGGAATTCCTTTATTCATAATATATATTAGAAATGTAATTACTAACTTGATTGGGAGAATCAGTCATGACTTAGCATTTGATGAAAAAGGTAAAATATAGACCTTGTGTATAGTTAGGGTTATTATCCTAACTTATTTAATGATAATTAGAAAGGTTATGTTATATATGTATATGAAATTTATGTGTAGATTTAGTCTTATTCAAATGTTCCTTGAATGTAAGCAAGTATTTTTGATTTTCACCGTGTGTGTAATGCATAAATTAGAAATGAATTGTTGTTTATGAAATCCAATGTTTAGTTTGGATATCAATTTTATGGTAAGTTTTATTTTATTGATTTGAACTGATCTACCGGTTATGTATTCCCCCAAGGTGGGTATTCGCCATAATCAAGATGAAAGACCATCCGCAGAAGTGCGTGCAAAACTCAGTCTGTACATCGACAGTCCACGTGAATCCACATGAATTCGTACTTTCCACACCCGATGTATTAACCAGCCATAAGCGGGTGATTCAGTTGTAGTGACTTAGCACTTGATGGAAAGGTAAAACATATATTCGTGTAAATAGTTAGGGTTATTATCCTAACGTATATGTTCCATCCTTCAGATTCTTTGCTTATTTGAGTACATACATAACTTAAGTGATGGGTAATTTGTTATGATTTGTATCTAGGTATTTGGAGTTAAAGAGAGAGAGGCACGATTTCAAGAACAAATGAATCGTCGTATTTTGATCGACTGGGTGCGTATAACTGGTCTCAAAAATCCTTATAGGAAGAAATTGGACCGTCTTCTAGATGATTTTGGAAAAGACGTCTTGAAGTATGTTTAAATTATTTAAATGTGTATATTTAGTAAATTTTTGAAAAAACAGAGTGCCTGAAGAATTAAAGGATTGGTTTGCATGGCCGGCCCCAGCGGGGAAGAAAGGGGATATATTAGCTATTAGGGTGCATAATTTTAAAATTTGTTTGGATATAGTCTTGTGACGGTTTTTTAGGTTCAAATCAGTTACAAATTTTGGAAATATTTCATATCAACTGGCAAAAATAATTTGTACGAGTATAATCACAAAAATGGTGAAGACATAAATGTTGCCAGAGAAAAAACTCTTTCCTTGACTGATCAAGATCGCCTCGGGTAATTTTGAATATTCTATAAATTTGAGATAGTAAAGAATCATTTTAGATTATATATGAGAAGAATTGTAAAGCAGAAGTACTTGGAGAAAGGGAAGAATGTGGAAATTAGTTACCGTAGAGGCATGATCAAGATTGGAAAATCGGATGTTATATTTTTTGTATTTTTTTGAGAATGTTTTTTGAATGAAATTTTTTAGCCTGTAAAACCAGCAATGGCTGTTTATGTATACGACATTGACATCAATGATTGGAATGGAGTTCCCATCGACACTCTGTTAAGTGAGGAAGAGAAAAAATCGATTGAAGTGAGATTTGATATGAACTTAGACCTGAGTAATAATGTTAAAATGTCAACATGTAAAAAAATGTTAACATGTTAACATGTTAACATTATAACATGTTAACATGTTAATGTTAACATGTTATAATGTTTGGGGTAAAAATTGTGAAAGATTATGAGACAGCCTAATAGTAAGAAAGATTTGGGCGAGACGAACCTCATGTTCGTTTATGACCCTCCTTATGGAATCAGAAGCTACACCTGTCCTTCGTTCTGTTGGTTAGTTGCTTCATAGCTCTGCTTTCTTCTATATAAGATCTAAGGGGCGAATTCCCAAGGCGAAGGGGCGTTTCCGCTTTAAAAAAAGTTCGCTCAGAGTTTACCCAAATAATCATAATAGAAAAAGAACAAAATATTCAACAAGACAAAATACCAAGTCATACTGGATGAAGACTTAGATGAATAGCATTGGCTCCTCAGGAAGTGAGAATTTCAATCTTTCATTACAGCTGAATGTCTGTGTGTATGTGTGCAAGTATGCAAAAGGTAAAAATTTCTATTTTTGATCCGAACCGAACCAAAGCTTGCACACATACTTTGTAGGGTGTGCAATTGTCACAGGCTAGTTTTACGTTATAGGCAAAGTCCGGACAAGAAATTGATTTTGAGATTTTTTGCTTACCTGAGCATATCTGCTATGCTGACCGAAGGTCCACACTGCAAAGTGCGAAAACGGTGAAAAAAGAGTTACAACGCAGGAAGGAAATCAACAAGTGCTCAGACAATTGCATCGGAAAGTTCGCGGCCTCAAAGCGTGTTACATGGCGCGCCGCGGCCCTTAAAATTTCAGCCGCACACGCCGCGGGCCATGTATATTTTACCGGGAACGCCGCGGTCGAAGTTGAAATCGGGAAGAGATTACCGGGAAGGTCGCGGCCCAACCACCTCACTCGCCGGGCCGCGGGCCCTATCAAAGGCCGCACTTCTTACACGCTGTAGTTTAAGGCGCAACCCTCGTGAGGTACGTCGCTGCGATGGAGCTACCCTGAGTGTTTAGGAGTTTGGGTATCGCTTCTCGGATTTGGTCCTATCTGACAGAGTTGAGTCTATGTTGATGAAAGAAACTTCAGCAGTCGGATGAGCAATATCGACGACATTAGATGATGTCGACAGATGAGCTAACAAGTTGCTCAATTTGTGCTCAAGTCGTTGTCATGAAAGACACGCCAAAAGATTTTTCTCTTCCTAGACCTCACCAGCATGCTAATCGGGTCAACTATCGGGTGCTTACAGGGTGCACCGCGGTCACTTATCGGGTCCAATTTTGGTTTATACCGGGCAGCTCGCGGCATGGATGATTGGTGGTCGAGCAAGCACCCGCGAACTTCCCGATGCGATTGTCTGAGTGGGAGAGATCTTACTTCCAAGTCACCCTCACAACTTCCAGAGCGACGTTCTTGGTTTTGGCTTCAAGTCAGGCTCTTGCGCTCGGCAGGTGGCGATGTAAGGGCGGCTAGCGGAAGCGAGTCGCGACATTTGAACTCAGCATAGCGAATAAGCCCTGGGAAGCAGAAAATCTCAAACTCAATTTCTTTCGCTGACACTGCCTTTAACAACGATATTGAATTTTAAATTGAAAATATTGAGCTACGTATTGATTGGCACAAGGAGGTAAGTAAGCAAATACGATACCTGAGTCAAAGTGTGATGTTTATCTTTTATTTGTCTTCTCGAACAATAAGGGAGCATGTGGAGGTTTGCGCTGTCCACATTGTACGACTTGTCCCAAAAGCATTCAAGCCCGACTTCGCGATATTTGTCCGCTTTTGATCTTTTCGGGCCAAACTTTGAATTTTTTGTTAAAATTGCTTAAAAACATGAAGTTTGCTTGATTCATTCAAGAGTTGAAGTATTTAAAGTAGGCCGTGCTGTGATTGTGAATTTGAGCCAGAAAGGACTTATCCAGAAGCAGATCGAAAACATTACTGGGATCTCAACGAGAGTATCTAGTTCCCTCTCTCCCTTTCGGAACGCTAGCAAGAGTGCCCGCCCTAGGAGCGGTGGCGACTGCGTCGATGCAAAGACCATCAAACGGGTCCGAGAGAAAATCCGAACGAATCTCAAAAGAAACATCAGAAAAGGCACGATTGTAGTACTTTAAATTTCGGTCCAAAGAATCGTCAAAAAGCGTCTGGGACTCCGTAGCTTGAAAGTGCAAAACATTCATGTCTCAACGGAACTAATGAAGGCTAATCTTTAATGCAGCAATTTTTTGAGACGATTCACATGGCAGAGATGAGAAATTCTTCTAAAGGACGAGAGGATTCTCACGACGACAGCGCAAACTTATGACAGCCAAAACAACAGAGATCATTTTGAACGAGTGGCCTCTGAACTCTCCAGATTAGAACTCACTTGACTTTTCTGCTGGTCGGTTTTGAAGAACAAGACATGCGTTACTCTATGTCGAAGCCTGGCCAGCTCGAAGCGAGTAGTTCAGAAGGCGTGGAAAGATATTGACGTCAACTACCTTTTACCACGGTCGATAGCTAGAGCGTCTAAAGGCCTGTACAAAGGCCAAAGGAAAATCTTTCGAGCTTTAAGTGTATGTATTGTTTTGCAAGTTTTTATGCGGTATTCACCAGGTTGCTTCGTTCAGTTTCAGCTGAAGAAAAACTATGCGCAAAAACTTTTGGAACAACCTGTGAATGTAAGATTAGACGTGCAATCTGAATGCCGTCTGCAGTTCCATTCCGATTGCTTTGGACTTGAAACATCATCGTAGTTAAAACAATAGCAAATCCAACACGGAACTGTTAAATGGCTGCGAAAGTCGCACAGTTTATGGATTTCTGTCAACACTTTTTTCTTTTCATCTGACGCAAGCGATGCGAAAGACAATACGAAATCGACCTTTTGTTTTTCTATGTGAGTTACAAGAAAGCGACAGAATAAACGAACGTCTTGCTTTTTCACAGTACTTTATTTACAAGATTGAGCTGAATGCTAATCTCTTAGGGCTGTTCGGAAAAAATGTCGCATCATCAGCTACCACGCCTTATCGCTGCAGGATCAACACGGAAAATAGTGAATGGGGAAGTTTTCGACAAAGCAGAGCTAGCTCTGCAAGAAGAAGCTAAACATTGCACCAAGCTTGACTTACCCTAAAATCCCATAGATAAGAGCGGTTTAATTTACCGGTGAGATATGGATCGGAAAAATTGAAATTGAATGCAGTCACCCCTCTAACTTGATGGATGGATAAATAAAAATCGGAGAAGAAGTTTAGAAGAAGCTCCGCCCCTCAACTCCAAACCCCGCCACTATATAAACAATATATATATAGATAAATAGCGATTTTAACGGAATTTCGGAATTTCTATGTGAATTGTTTATTAACTGGGCGGGGTTTAGAGTTGAGGGGCGGAGCTTCTTCTAAACTTCTTCTCCGATTTTTGTTTATCCATCCATCAAGTTAGAGGGGTGACTGCATTCAACTTCAATTTTTCCAATTCATTTTTCACCGGTAAATTAAACCGCTCTTATCTATGGGATTTTAGGGTACATAAAGTTTGAAGCCAAATCTCAAAAAATTTAGAAGTCTGAGAAATCGAAGAAAGTCTATCTATCCCTGTAAAAAATCCACGCCCAACTTGCTCACGCGCACACTCACTACACTAAATTTTCATGTGCACTGTAGTGTGCTTTCCATGGTCAAAAAAAGGGTTAAATCTAACAGTAGTACAGCTTCTCCCGGTGGAGGTGATTTCGTAATAAATTTTTGAATATATCCTCGTACTGTCCAATATGGAGACTACATGCCTGAGCAAAGTGAAAGTCCGCAAAGATTTTATGCACGTCGTTTTTTGTTTTCCGTCAAACTTCAGGTGGAACAAAATTTCCGCCGATGTTTGTGCTCCTCGTTGGAGAGCTTGTTTTGTTCTCAAATGGTACCCTTTTTTCTTCATGTTTTCTGTGTTGTACTAGGATGTAATGCGACATTACGAACAAATAAATACTTGAAAAACAGCAAATGAATGAGTCCAACAAATGTCGTGAACTAAAGACTAGATTTCCTTGTTTTCGCCCGCTGTTCCTCCTTCATGCGATAGTAGATGCACAGGCAATTGAGACTCATGAATCAAATACATACCACACTTTGTAGAGTTAAAAAATGTGTTTTTTAAAGTGAGATTTTCTGCAGTAAAAACATTTACTACTTCTCGAAATTTTATACTCTGTATTTCGAAGTTATTTAGGTGATGCAAATGCATCGGAATAATAAAGAATAAATGCGGCTTTCTCAAAAAAAATTTAACTGGATGCCCCAGTCTTGGCGGATTTACCTCAGCCTTATGTTTCTCGGATCGAGGTCTATATGCGGCCATTGTCGCATAACATTATTTATCTAGCTTATTATTAGAACCAATAACAAATCATTGCAAATAATTTTGAATTGTCACCAAATCTACGGTAGTTTGGTGATCTTAGCGCTTTGGAACGGAAGATATAGCATTGAGATTGCTGGAAATATCATTCATTTTAGCACCTTACCCGTGCTTTTGAAGGAGCCACTAACGTTCTACTCATGCGTATGCAAGCTTACCTTTCCCGCGTTTTCAAGATTAAGGATCAAAACGTAATCAGTCACTTCGTTTCAAAAGTAAATTTTTTCGAATAACTGCCTTTGCACAATGCGATCATATAGAATATTTGAGGACTTTGAAATTAGCGGCGCAAATTCATATGGTTACTGTAAAAATTTCTTAGTTTTTCGAAGCACAGCTTGAAGGATGGTGGAACTAGCAGTGCGAGGTGTCAAAATGTTAAGTGAAGAGCACATTATACAAAAGGTCTCATAAAACTTGGATGTGGATATGGATAAAAAAAAAAGCGCCTTAAAAGTAAAAGAAAACAAAATGGTCCTTTATTAGGTTGTTGCATAAGTTCTGTCCGATTTGAAATTTCTGACTTCAAAATGTCATGACTTCTTTCAAAATCAGCTTTTTCCCAAGATCTTAGTTTCTATTTGTTGAGCAATTCCTTGGCTATCAGACACATATTGAAACCTGTGGGAATCCTTGTTAAGGAAGAAGCAAGCATTCAAAAACTTTACAGCGTTTTTCTTCAAACCTTTCTTATTTGACATGGTAGTGCTCCCTTATGAGAATTGACAGACATCTTGTCTAACAATGGATAAATAGAGAATTTTTCGTAGATTATTTTGCACCATGAAAGAGCCCATAGGGTCTGCGTTGCCGAGAGATTTTTTGACCGAACAAAAAATTGGCCACTTTTTGACCTCACTCCAGCGCATGTGTGCATTATTTACAAATTACGAAAATTATACAGTTGCCGTGAGCGCCGAAAAAAAATGGTGGATGGTCTCTGCTAACCCTTGCTTTACGCTAGCACCTCCAACTTTGAAGTCGTCGATTACTTCTATTCAGAAAGTTATAGCTTGTGAAACATCTATACAGAAAATTAATGTTTGACAATAAATTTTACTAGCAAGACGATTTCTTCATGGAACTGCACTTATGCGTACGCTAGCCAATCACACCCTTATTCCGCTACCAACTAAAAAACTTGACCTGAAGTTCGCATTGTGGAGATTTCCTCGCAAGAATATAGCTCTGGGGTGAGAACGTACCTCGGCCACTTGGAGATTATAAGCCTGAAATCTCCTCACACTGAAAAATTTATTGAAATTTGATTTGCCTTAGAAAGCGCAAAAAAGCACTTTTTAATGATACTAACGATACCGCATTAGAGATGAAATTTTCTTAGAACAGCTGCCTCAAACATAAGGCAAAAGAAATCGGACAGAACTTATGCAACAACCTAATACATTCTTGTCACCCTGATAGTTCATTTTCCAAATCTACTATATCTTCCGGAAATTCGGCAAGGCAGTTGAAATGTTTTGGAAAGCCATCAGTCTTTAGAAAATATCCTTCTCGCTCCAACAGTAATATCTCCTGATTCTTTTTATAATGCTCTTTCAGATGAAGCCAGATCGTACAGAAATTTGTTCGCAACATCTGAAGACCGCTTTAAATGACCAAAACTATCTTTCAGCCATTCAAATAATGTGTAATATCTGTATTGCTGTATCTCCTTCGAAAAAATATGTCAGGGACCCGTCATACTTCGCCGAAAAAAGCCCGAAAAAGCCCAAAAAAGCCCAAAAAAGCCCTAAAAGCCCAAAAAAGCCCAAAGGCGCCAGAAAGAGCCGGAACACTTCTCGCATGTTTTGGCGCTAAGGCATATGTGTTGACTTCGCAATCGAGCCTTTTTGTCATTTTCTGTCGTCCGCATGATAAGATAATGTCAGAATTCTACCAAAAGTTCGTTTCTACATTCCGGCTCTTTCTAGCGCTTTCTGGCTTTTTTGGGCTTTTTGGGCTTTTTCGGGCTTCTTTGGGCGCTTTTGGGTATTTTTTGGCTTTTTAGGCTTTTTTGAGCGCTTTTGGGCTTTTTTCGGCGAAGTATGACGGGTCCCTCAATGTTAAGAAGTGGTATACATAATTCAAGAAGTTGTACAAATGACTTTTTTCGTTACAAACAATCGGATAAAATTTTAGATGTATTGGAAGTTCAAAAAAGCTTTGGAAAAATTTCGGTTGTACTGGAAGCTTGCAAGCAACTTGAGAGATTTTCAAAGATTCTTAGAGGTCTACTGACTTTACGTCGCTTCATTTCGAAAAAAGTGACCCCCCCCCCCAAATTTTTCGGTGATCTCGTGGCGGAAATTAATATCCTCTTCCGTTTTAGTCTCAGTAAAGTAATCTACAAAATGCGTGATTGTTCACAACTGCAGCCAACAAACTCAGCAGAAGACCACAAGGGTTCATCTCTCGATGTTGACCCCGTCTAATCAGACAGCCTTCCAAGAATGGCGAACTCTAATCAATTTGAGATAATTTACGTATGGTCCAGCCGGGTGTGCATGTGGTGTGGTGGCGCATGTGAATGAGTTAATCGCCTAATCTCATCAACCTCGTCGCGCATAGCACTCTCAAATGAAAAGAAAGAGGCCAAAGAGGCACGCTGTGTCACATTTGCTAATGCAAACCATACGGAGAGCTTCGCGGTCCGGTTATGGTCAAGAAGGGTTAGCTGGCATTTATAAAAGAGATAATACACAAGTAATATGAAGACAATTTTACTACAGTTTTTCTGGCAGAGGTGAATCTCGCCCTCGCTGTCCCACGCTCTCCATACTTAGTCAATGAACTTATCTCAAGAATAGCAATTTACTTCTGTTAATCCATCCATGGCATTGCGGGAATTAACATTTTGATAGGGCGTCGATGGCTATTACCCGAGAAATTGAAGCAGACGAGAGCGACGTTGTTCGGTTGAACACGCATTTTACGGCTTCGGCTGCGGTCAGAGCACTTTTCATATAATTTACTATATTTGTTATTTGATATTTTTTGAGTTCGAAACACACAAAACAAAAGTCTTTTTGGAATTGCTTCTTTTGCAATAACCTATCGCATTATTTTTCCTCTTGTGCTTTTTGCTTACAAACAAGTCAAAATCAAAATGGTCACAGATACAGTGCTGGGACGCTAGAGCTTGTTTTCATTTAGTGTGCCTTTGTCGTACGACATCGCTATACATTGTCATTTCATACTTCAACAAAGTGCACAGTCCTTAAGATCAGACCCTTTAAGTTGTCTTGAAATTTATGAATCCCTTAGACTCATTTACCCAATGGGATTGTCACTGCACATTCGCTTAATCAAATTTTTGCTAGATTTTTATTGCGAAGGTTTTGTTATGTTTAATCGAATATGGAGTCTTTGCACAGCCGAAAATTATGTAATCAAAGAAATTTTCAAACGAATCAGGTGCAAGAAGATCTACTGTACATATACATTAGCGTATTCCGAGATGTAGGGAACGAATCTATATACTGTAACTTTCTGGATGATCTACACAGAACAGAAACACACGTATAGCTTCTATGATAAAATTAAGACCAAATTTTTGAAGAAATGACGAATGAACTTTTGATTTGGAGTTTGTGAATTATCCTAACATTACGCTGTTGGAGAAACGAACCTTTCAGAAAATTTTTAGCATGAAATTCGCGCTTTCTCAATGCCATCTCGTCTCACCATCAACTATATGCGTTTTGTTGAGTAATTCTATCA